CGCATCCATGTCGCAGAACGCGATTGGCGAGCCGGCTGCTGATATGAGTGCATGGTAGGCGGCACTCGGGGCACGTGGGTGACGGCGGCGTATGTAGGCGAGACAGGTTCTCCAAAGGCCTGGGGCCTCGCGACGGTTTCGGTGTAATTTAGCGGAACAGTGACAGAAATCGGTGGGGGCGGCCTGGCAACAACTTGGGCGTAGCTGAGTGGCACAGATGCAGGAGGTGGCTGGTGGTATTCAGGGACGACCTCCGCGATTTCCTGCTGAATGGCTCGGCGGAGCGGAGGTAGAAGTGTACTTGATGTCTGTTGAGCTTGTTGTGGGGAAGCAAAAGCCAGTAGAGAGACCTGGCGGGCAACTTCCTCACGCACGAACGACTTGATTTCGGCGAGCAAGGTTGCGTGGTCAGGAACTGCTGACAAGGCCGAGAGATCAGCATCACGTGGTGGCGGGCGACGGGTCATCAAGCGCTGCCGCCGCAGCTCGTCGTAACTTTGGCATAACATGATGACTTCTGCCACAGTGTGGGGGTTCTTTGCCAGGAGCATGGTGAAGGCATCGTCGGCGATGCCTTTTAGAACATGCGTGATTTTGTCAGCCTCTGACATGTTCAGGTCGACTTTCTTGCACAAGTCAAGGATGTCCTCGATATAACTTGTGAAGGACTCACCGGTCTGCTGGGCTCGTTCACGTAAACGCTGTTCAGCTTGCAGCTTACGAACGGCAGGGCGGCCGAACACGTCGACGACAGCGGTTTTAAAAGCGGACCATGTCGGGAAATCAGATGCGTGGTTGTTGTACCACATGCCGGCCACACCCGCGAGATAGAAAAACAGGTTGCCGAGTTTACCTGCCTCGTCCCAATGGTTGGGGACGCTCACGCGTTCGTACATGGCCAGCCAGTCCTCGACGTCGGTGCCATCCGCTCCGGTGAATACAGGAGGGTCGCGGATGCGGGGGACACCGGGACATGGCGGCGACGTAGGAGGAAGCGTTTGCTGGGCGGCGTCTTGGTACATGGTTGGAGGCACGATACGGGATCGAAGCTCCAAGGGCATCGAATGCTGACCGAAGGTGTTTGAAGAGCACAGCACTCTCAGCACTCTCCACCAAATTGTTAAGCGGTTTATTGACGGACACTCAGCGATGATTCACGACAGCGACAGTCAATGCGGGGATCGACTCTCTGCACGAGCTGCTCTTCTTCTTAAGAAAAGGGCGACCCACTAGAAGGTGCTGAAGAGGATGACCCACTGTTCAAAGGCTTTACCACAATATATATATATATATATATATATATATATATATATATATATATATATATATATATATATATATATATATATATATATATATATATATATAAAGAAACAGTGTGTGTGCGGAGGAGAGAGAGGATTGTGGAAGAGCAAGTCAGGTAACCAACCCTGCCCCCTCCGGGTATTTCAAAACTCTCTGCCTATATGCACTCTGGTAAATTCAGTGTCTCACTACAAACTGCACGGCTGCTCAGAGTGTTTAATCTTTTACTATGAGGCCCCATGTGTTCCTAAAGTGCGGTTTTCAATTTTCCTAGAAATCCAAACACTTTTGCGTAGTGCGACACTGCAATATTTTAAAGTGTTCCAGTGGGTATTCGCTGCATACAGCCGGGAGTCCATTTTGGCAACAAGCTTTTTCGTCAATTGTGATTTTTTTGCTTTGATTTTATTCAGTTATGGCAGCATGCCACTGCTCCTGCCGAGAGAGGACGTCATGTACAGATGTACCTTAAATGTACGCAAATCCGTGGAATGACCTGGAAAAAGTATAATTTCAATATTGGACTGTACACAAGGGTGTCGGAAAAGGGGTGCAAAAGGAGCCCTGCCCCCCTGAAGCTTCACCAACTCTCGGCCTCACCTAAGCTACACTAATGCTCTCCGCCTCTTCAAGCCGCAATGCAACAGTGGTTTACACCCCCAATGAAAGTGCTGTCAACAACCATTGTTGTATAGCAGTGGCAATAAAAGCTTTTTAGATATCTGTTCGGTAGAAGTTTGACATCAGAAGAAAATATATAATCAAATTCAGTTTTGGTTTTTGTCAATGAGTCATTTGAAACAATGCTCCATATGTTAACGTTTAAAGGTTCTAGCTGCTGTTTAACAAACAAAATTTGAGGCCTATGTACTTTAGACCATGGCTCATTCAAAAATGTTCTCGGTTCAGAAATGAATAAAAACTGTGAACGTCTAATTGAAGAAGCATAAATTATTAAATATACTTTAATGGTAAGCATGCAGAATCTATAAGTTAGGGTGGGGATCGTTTGTACAGATTATTTGCTAGTGATGCCCTGTATGAAGGCAAAGGGTGGGGGGGTGTTCAAGATGTATGGTGCCTGATAAAGCGAGAACCCGTGAAAAAGGATTACTGAATCAGTGCAATGCCAGGATGACAGCCGAATCGTGCTTTCAGTGGTGATATGCTTGCGTGATAACAGCACAATGAGTGAATGAATCTCGCCGCACAATTTTGGACTGATTTCTAGTGTATTGAGGAGGTATGCTTCATGTGGGGACCATTGAGTTTCATACATGAAACTCTATGGTGGGGACCTTTTCGGGAATGTGTATTAAAAATTCGGACGTACAAGTGTTTTGAATGCTGGTAGTTTAACAGAGGAGGTGCATAATGTAAATGACATTTTAATGATTGATATGTGGGGTTTAACTTCCAAAACCACTATTTCATTTTGAGAGACACCGTAGTAGAGGGCTCTGGAAATTTCGACCACCTGGAGTTCTTTAACGTGCACCCGAATCTGAGCGCACAGGCCTACAGCACTTCCACCCATCGAAAATGCCGCCGCCGCAGCCGAGATTCAATTCTGCGGCCGGTGGATCAGCAGCAGAGTACCGTAGCCACTAGACCACCATGGCGGTGCGAATGACGTTTTAAAAATCCCTAAGTTCGGTAAGCTTAAGCAATAATGCGCGACACATGAATAGACTAATCTAAATCATATGAAAGGGTGATACCAAGGTTCCTAAATGAGTCTTATTTTTTCAAGAGAGTAATACGGATATTATAAGGCATATGGAAGGAGTGATGGCGGCTGGTGAAAGATATTACTTTAGCCCCACTGAGGTGGTTTAGTGGCTAAGGGACTCGGCTGCAGACCCGCAGGTCGCGGGATCAAACCATGGCTGCGGTGGCTGCATTTTCGATGCAGGCGAAAATATTGTTGGCGAAATATTGTAGATTTGGGTGCATGTTAAAGAACCCCATGTGGTTGAAATATCTGGAGCCCTCCACTATGGTGTCTCTCATAATCATATGGTGGTTTTGAGACGTTAAATCCCACATATCAATCATTCAAATCATCAAAATATTACTTTACATTCATTGGGGTTAAGGGTCGTCAGCCAGTCGTTACACAAGTCCTGCACTTTGTTAAGCAGGGCTTTATGGTACGAGTCGTTATTTGCGTGATATACGACACAGTTATCGGCAAAAGATGAAAATATAAGAGAAAAAATGAAGGGAAAGTTTGTTAATGTAAACAAAAAAAAAAAAGAAGGGCACCTCAGACACTTCCTTGGGGGATGTCAGTTACAGGCAGTGCAGTTTATGTGCGATTATTGACATGCACCGATTGATAAATGATTAGAGATATTCGGCAGCTTTAGTATGTTCGGGGAGGGAAGCTTCGAGGGGATAGCTTAAGTGCCATTTAGAAAGTAACTTTTCAAATAATTTTGCATAATTAAGAAAGATAGCGTGGGTGTTACTGTGTAAGTTAGGGAGCAAGTTATGGACAGATGGCAAGTTGTGTCTCGCATGACGAGCCTTCGTAAAAGCCATGTTGGGCTGGGTGAAAGAAGCTACTGGTGTCTAGGAAGCATGTAATTTAGGTGCAGATTACGTGCTCCATCATCTTGCCGGGTACTTTTGTAAGAGAGATTGGCCAGTAGTTAAGAGATGAATATTTGTTTTCCGATATGTACACTGGAACACATACTTATTTTTTATCAGGTAATTTGGACTTTGCACTATCTAGCCAGGATGCTGATGATAACTTTATTCTAGCTTTTCACTCATTAGCATTATGCTGTTTGGTGAATTCGATGAGTGGCATTGAGTGGCAGTGTAAATTTGCAGGTGGTAACGAACCAGGAGCGACTATTTCAGTAGCAAATACTGATGAAAACATGAGGTTAAATTAGGCTTGTGCAAATAGTGAATTATCAGTTCGAAGTGAAGCTGAAGCAAATTGTCGTTTTGGTCAAATAATTTCTAATCGAATTCGAATAGTATGCATCACATATGAAAAAAAATGGTCATACTTGGCATGACCCAACTAACTCGCGCAATATATTTTCTTTAAATATTGAAACAAGGCCGGTGCAAATGCCATCTTTTTTTACTCCAAAGAAAGTGGAAACAACTTGGAATAGTATCTGGATCTGACTTTTGGTACAGTGCAAGTGATAACCGGTATAACAAGCTCTTAAATTAAAAAAAAAAAGGATGAATCGATGTGAGGGTAACATGTTCCTTTATCCTTGAAGTGAAGCTCTACAGCAGTGCTATTTTTTGTTTTTGGATGGGTGTTTTCATGGGTTAGCCCTCCTTCACTGCAGTAAAAACACCTTTAGAGGGGGTTACATGAGGATTAATATACATCAATACACGTACACAGAAGAAATACGCACTGCAGCAAAGCCCCACTTCAAGGTTAAATGAAGAAATTCCCCTCACCACTACGTCGTCTCTCATCATCATACGATGGTTTAGGGACATTGAACCCCAAGAATTATTATTTAGGCGAGACAGTAGTTTCATTCTCGCCTTCACTACTCATTTTAGAAGCACTATCTTCTGGCCACTTCTTCAGAAGACATGGGGAATATGCTTCTCAGTGTTTCGTCCTTTCTGACTATGCCTATCGCTGCTTATGGAGTCGCAAGCGCAAGGGGAAAGACGAAACTTTGCAAAGGGGAAAGACCAAATTTTGAGAAAAAGTTTATTTATGTACATTTGCAAACTTGACACCATGCACCACTGAATGCCTGTAGGGTAGCTCCTAGAATGAAGCTTGGCAGCAAAGCTTCTACATATGTAACAATAAATATTTTTAATTGTAATAGGTAACCATGTCATTGACTATGAATATGACTGCTGCTAGAGGCCTGACATAAGTGCGAGAGCTTATATTATGGCAACATGACATGAACTGCACGTCGGTACTTACATGTTTGCATAAGCTTGCTCAATATTTTGCACCAAATTTCATGAGCACTGAACGTATACATAACCAAGAGCCTGGATGTGTACAGTGCTGGCACTCCTAGCATTCAGGATGATGGAAGCACAGCAACACGATCACAATATAAAACAAAAAAAAAGCGACAGTCTAAACAATCTTCAAAATCAAGTTCCTTGTAGCAACATGCCTCTGTGGGTCGATGAGATGGTCCGCTACAGAGCAGCCCTGGAAAAAAACAAAGAAGGGCATTTTTAAGTTTTGAAGTTATACCACAGTAATTGTGAGTAGCTCGGAATAGGATGCAAACTCATGCGCGCACATGTAGGTGCATTGTGTTTGGAGAACCATTTTGCATGTACATCATTATAAACATTTTTAAAGGGGCCCTGCAACACTTTTTGAGTGTGGTCAGAAAGCACTGCCGATTGGTACTACGGACTTCCGAGGAGACGCAAGCCGAATACAGTGCAGAACGACCTAGAATTCACAATAAACTCTCAAAATCGACTAAACATTGCCTTCTCTTCTCTGAAAAAATGACGGGAATAGATAAAAAGTCACTCGTCCTAGCAGTTCAATCAGCCATTGGCCGATTTGAGCATGGCGCGCTCAGTCATTACAGGAACTGTTCCGTGAGGCCACTACTAGTCCAAGCGTGTGATCGCACCAAAAAGCCGTGTATTTGAAGAAAAAAAGAAAGATAAAAAGTGTTCAAGGTCATAACATGCGTGACCTATTTGCTTTCTCTGTGCGATCGCTCCTTGTGTAGCTTCCAACGCTTTCATCGGGACGAGAAGAGAAAGAGTGCAATTGCAGCATGCGACAAATCTTTGCAACTTCTCTCCTACAGGATGGATTTGAAAAATTTTTGCAGTGGTGAATTCATGAGGAAATAAGCGGCTTTAGTGAATTCACTCCAAGGCTACTTAAAAAAGGTGTTGCAAGGCCCCTTTAAGTTATTTGTAAAAGGTGATTTATCATAAGATGCTTTTCTGTGTCTCTATTTACACTCTTATGAACTAAATGGACGTTCACACAGGGCTGGGAAAATTAATATGAAAGGTCAAGCTGTTGGTTGTGTAGACATTCTTGACTTCCAAGTGCAAAGAACTTCAAGGAGCCGGGCTGTTCTGTGCTGTCATTGCTGCTTGGCACAATGCGGGCAAAACCACGTACTACAGCGTAGCCATCTGCAGCACATTGAGCACGTATTTGTGCCAAGGATAAACTTTCTGCTTCTTGTTCTTCGAGCGCATCAATGGTCGTACAAAGCTCTGAGCACTTTAGGGGCCCTAGCTTTCGCATGCTGTTGTCACTAAGTGCAACACAGTCAAAACCGTGTCTAAAGATAGGAAAAAAGAAGAAGCAAACGAGAAACAGAAAGAGAAAGACAAGAAATAGGAACAGAAATAGAGAAAAAATGAAGAAAAAACTGCAAATAGAGAACAAGCAAAGAGAGGAGGGAAAGAAGAGAAAATTAAAAAGAAAGACCAAGGTTTCACACTTCCTCTAGGCTTGGCACCCACTCTGCTGAGAAGCCACCTTAATTTTTTTTTCTTTCTTGATCTTCTCTCACTTTCTCTTTTTTTCCGCGCTAAGTTTTTTTTCCCCTCCTCATTTCTACCGTCCTCTCAGTCAAGAGCCTTTCCAGCCACCCCACTAGACCGTACCATACATGGCTTTGCTTCGCTCTCCAGTGTACCTGGATAGCGGTTGGGGCGCTTGCCTTCAGATTGTGGGAACGTCAGTTTGAATACCGTATCGCCAAGAAATTTCGCTAAATTAGCTTGTGTGTTTCGGGAGCGATGCACAAGATGAAGAGAGTACAGGCCCATTTATGAAAGTGGCAGTATGTTCTCACTATTCAACTCCACGAAACGGCTCAAAGGGGTACTGACATGGAATCTCATGGCCGAAATAAAGATAGCCTGCGGGATGCATGGATCATCTGCGGTATGCTACATTCTGTGAACATGCGTATATCAGCTGAAAAATAACAGCGAACACAGCTTGGACAGTATTGCACTACATTAATTTTTATGTTTGTGTGCGCGATCAAGCGAAGTGATTCACGGTGACCCACCCAATTCCCTCGCGTCACTACGCTGCTGTCAATACCACAAGTTCTGATGGCTCCATAGCTGCCATTTTTTCTTTTTGCCATGTTTGCTCAAGCAGACTACCCGCAGTGATGAACTGTTCCCACAGAAGCTTTTGATTTCGCGACATTGCTGCCCCATTTTTTTGTTCAAAAAAAAACTTCTCAATGCGTACTCAGTGATGGGAATGCCTTCCAGAATTTCGGGGCAGCCATTGGAGGAGGAAAATCTGCTTTTGGAGCGGCTACCTCTATGTTTTGGGCACGCACGTCCTTTTTGTGATACACACAGGGAAAGAAAATTTAGCTTTAATTTAGTTTAATGTTCTCTCAGTTCACATATACATTTATACAGATGCAACAAGCCCACAAAATCAGTGCTTCCCCTCCCTCCCCCCCAAAAAACACCAAAAGCAGGATCCTACACAGAAGAGGAGAGATAAAATAGAGAAGAATATTGCACCAACTAACCGCCTATGTACTCCACCCAACACACACAAACAATTTCGAGGCTTGTTACACTAAAGGCTTGTTATATGAACACACCCCCGAACACGCGGCTAACTGCGCACTAAATGCAGTATGCATTAATCACCAAGTACCAATTCCTTCGAATCTACTGCGGAGTCTGGGATATGCAGTCGATGCAGCGACTAGCATGGTCACAATACGGACATAAGCGGCTGTCCACGATGAATGTGTACCACGATCAGCGACTTAGCGAACACAGACACAGCTTTTTGGAGATGCGGTACGGTCTCAGGGAGCCGATCGTCTACTTCTATGAATGCAGTTCTATTGAGTTCTATGAATGTAGTTCTATTACTTGTGACAGGCAATTTAAGAAACTGTATTCTTCAAAATCAACAACAGGTATATTGAGCACTTGAAAAATAAACAATGTGCTTCCGTGGGGCTACAGAAATCTAATTCAGACGAACTAGTACTGCCTCAAATAAACATAATTCAAGGGCCATTACAAACATCACAATCAGTTGAGGCACCACTAAGGTATCTTCAAAACTTTCATATACTACTCACACTATCAACAGCCTGCAACAATCCTGAGGCGTAAAACTGGCCAAGCTGCTTTGCAGGTTTGACCAAGTGCTTCACTTTGGTGCGGCCATTGCTGTGACATGCGAAAGAGAAAGCACAAGATTCAGACTATGTAGTAAGAAGCTCTTCTTATGTGCCACTTTACCATAACATTGCAAACTATAAGAGCTTACCTGCATGATTATGCTGACAGGCATACATACCATGCTGTTCAGTCAACAATGTGACCCCGTAAATCAGTAGTGTGACTCAACAGCATATTGCATACGTCTATCACTGATAGCAATCAACTTTGCTATAAGTCTTCTTTAACTCTTTCGTTCATCGATTTCGGCATGTTAAATTTCTTTCTTCTGCACCCAGAACTTTCTAGTAGTTAGTTCAGCCACTCAACTTTTGGAATTTTCTTCAATTTGCCGACTTGGGCCACATAGCGATTTTTTACAGACTTTTGCGCGAATCAATGTGCGTGTGTAGTTGGGAAAATGCTATAGACTGGCGAACTTGACAGAAGTGCGTGCCCCTCGTGATTATGCTACAGTAACATTGAAGTTCTGTAATGAAAAGAAACTTTGCAAGCCAAATATCGAATGGATGTGTTAGCTTCGCAATTTGACCAAGTTGACCAGTAATAATTGTCAGAAATTCATGCCAACTAATCAATAGAGAGCTGTTGCTACAAGTCAGGGAAAGTGAATTCTACAAAAAAATATTTCTCAAGGTCCGCCGCATGTGCAAAGTGTGCAGGTGGTGTTCACAGTCAGTTTCCAGCCGCTTTGGTTTTGCTTGTATCATTATGTCAGACACAGGGTTACATCGAGTGTCACTAGTCACTCCTATTACGCGAGCGTCACGCACGCTTGGGTGCGCATCAGCGCTGCAAAACACATGCGCTGCTTGAAACTGTCTTCCAACCCCACCTAAATTGAGTGAGAATGAGCTGAGATTTCATGGATGGCAGCACCTCAGCTTCAAGTTTTATGGGGACGATGTTTTGCATCAGCCTGGGACATCCGTAGCCATTCATGGGTTTGTTTTGTTTACATCTTCAAGTTATCTCCTCTGCCGCAAGTGTATGTAGCTTCTGACCTTGGTGCAGAATCTTACAGTTTGTGGGGATGCTGACACCCCCTGTAAAGTTGTTTGTGCCGCGTGGCGCACATGTCTCGCACAAAAGCCATATTTCGGGAGTGACAACCGCCGATCGATACACAGCGCTGTGTTCGCGTTGAGTACCGCTGTTAGTAGAGTTTAGCGCCGACGGTGACCCCTGGCGGAAGGCAGGCCTTGGTGGCAGGCGAGTCTCTTCTGCGTGTGGCAGCTGCCGCAAACAGTTGTCTCTATATTAGGTCCTCGACGCGTGGCACCACGGGCCTGCGCGCCGGGGGGCCCACGTGGTAAGTCAATTGTTGGCGACGCCGCCTTGGGTGTGTTAGTGTGTTTGTCGTGTTATTGTGTAACGATGTCCTAGCGTATTACATAACGAGTTATGTATCAATTTGGCGGATGATATCATTATTATAAATTAGCTAAATAAATGTGTGTATGCTATTTGGTTTGTACCGACCGCGTCTTCTGTGTCCGTTCACTCCAAGAGCATGGCGTGGTGCTCGCACGCCTCGTCGAGACCCCGCAAGTTACTCAGGTTACGTGGTGGTCCACACTTCGCTAGAGCGCGGTGCGGTGGCACTGACTGTAGAGCTTCTCCTAACGACAAGAAGGCCCCCGGAGCATATCTTGGCCCAGACTACAGAGCAGTGCAAAACACTTTAGAGCTGCATGTGATATTGTCCTTTTTTTGTTACGATAGGTGCAAAAATGCAAAGGAATATGATTGGATGCATATATTGAAACGCCAACCTATGCGGAGTGAGGTGGCTCATGGAAAGAGGTGACGCTAGATAAAATAGCAAAATTCATTGGACATCTTATTTATAGACGGATTATTCACACCAAAGGTATCCATCTATATTGTAATACCTAGAGACTCTTATTGCAAGGCAACAAAAATTTACTGAGAAGAGTGAACGAGTACACTTGTGCCTCCAGAAAAACCATGCAATGCTTCACTCCATGGCATGAGCAATGAAGCAGCTTCTTGGTTCCGATTTTCTTTGCCTATGTGAAACGAAATATTTTCCACAACATTAATTATTTTTATACTCTTCCTGGGTCATTTATCTACAACATGTATATTCTGAATTTTCTTTGTTTTGAATATTTTTGATATATAGTGCTTTTTTATTCCACTGTCTACCAGCTGGTGACAAAAAAATTTCGCACTTTTCACATTTTTATTTATTGTAAAATGTCTTTGCTACTCTACAACCTATATTTTTTGGAAAGAGCATTTCATTCTGCAAAGTTTGGTATGCTGCAATGCGTGCTGGAGTACTTTTCAAACTGGCAAAAACGATCTTCCCGAGACATATGAAAAACAACCATTCTTGCGGTAACGAAATAGTTAAAAGGAAGGGAGAGAGACAAGGAAGGTTGGGAGGTATTGGCATACGAGCACTTCTTTAAATTTTATATCCAGGTTATGTGCTGGCATTAGGTGAGCTATGCACTACTTATGCAGGCAAGGTGCTTTTAATTGATGCACATAAAGACGGCCTCTCTATAAAGAGAAGGTTCTTCTTTATTCATTTCTTTTTTTTTTACATTTACAAGCAACTCACCCGAAGAAAATGTCATCACGGCACGTGTCACTTGCAGCACCAGCTCGCGGTTCGTTCGGGCGTTGACACTCAGCATACTGAGGCTGTTCAGGAGGTTCGGCAATCCTGACTGCAGAACACTGTAACAGAGGTGCCAACAGACACTCGGCCATTTGTCCATTATAGAAAAGAACTTGTGTGCAGGCATATGCAAATAGTGAATTTTCATTTTGAATCGAATTCAAAGTGATGAGTATTTGGTTAAACAGTTTGAGTCGAATTTGAATGTGCATGTAACATAATATGAAGAAAAATGAGCCCATCATGACCCAGCTAGCCACAACAATATTTTTGGCCAAAAAAAAAAAAAGTGGAAGCAGCAGCAACTTTGAGTATTAGCAGGATTTTAATTTTGGTAGAATGCAAGTGATAACTTGTAAAACCTGTTACATCTTAAAAATTACTGTATGTACTCAGAACATATAGGCCGCTATAAAAAAAAAGGAAGAATCGACGTGAAGGCAACATGTTAATTCAGCCTCGAGGTGGGGCTTCGCAGCAGTGTGAATTTTCCCTGAAAAGGTGCTCTATACTAAAGCAAAACCACCTTTACAGGGGGTTGTATACGAACTATTCATACAAGTATTCATTATTTCCAATACTTCGAAATTTTCAGTAATTTAAAATTGAGTTGAATCAAATTTGAATATGTCAATATTCGCTTGAATATTTGAAGTGCTCGAATATTTGTATAAGGGTAGACTTCAGAAATTTTTGCTGTTCATATTGGCTAAGTAGCCTTGCAGCCTCCTCAATGCTGCAATCAACTTGTGAGATGGAGTGCACCTTTGTGCAAAAAAACATCTTTATGAAAATAATTAACATTTTGTGAAATTCCCACGAAGTTTCCAAAACTAGTCAAATTATGTAAGCATACCTTACAACTCAAGCGAGTTGAAAGATGTGCTTGTTGAACTACTATGAAAATAAGAGTACGGTACAGCTCTATCTTGATTTACTTAATTTAAGATGCACGCAATGTTATTTTTACCATGAAAAACATTCAGCAATGTTGCATTCATTTAAGACTTCACTGTGACAGCTGTTTACTACATGTTCACCTTGTCGACAATAGCGTTTTTGGCAATTTTTGATATGTACCTGTTAAATACTGTTGAATATTTAATGGAAGAAAGAAGAGAACGAAGTGTGAGAACCAGCGAAGAGCTCGTGATTCGGCGCCGCCAAACGAACAATTGCCGGAGACTGGACGCGTTTCTAGCTCGTCTGAGCCATTAAACCTTTGTTTTTCGCTCACTCCACTGGCAAAGACACCTTTTCTACTACATTTTATGGTGCCGGGAAACCCGAGACTGTGCCATCTAAGCGACCCGACTGAACGACTTCGCCCACAACGAAGATGGAGCGCATCAAAGGCAAACGAACAGCTCAGCAAGCCCTGCACACGCACTTATGAAATGAAGCGCGGTAACTAATCGACTCCAACCGGTTCGCCTCATCGGTCCTCCGTGTGGTGCATGACCGGCTGAAGGCATGCAACTAAGGCCTGCTGGCGCTCAACTTAGAACTCGAAGCCCACTTCACCGACAAACAAGCCGCAGAAGATTATGCCTCCGTAGCAGAATATGAAGACAACGCTGCTGCTACACTGGCTTTGCTCAGTCACCACATGGAGGAGCTGAAGGCGTCGACGTCCAGGATCCCCGACAGAGCGGCAACCAACATCGCGATTGAAGGTATCATCACTGCAGGTAGCCGTGTCTTTGGCGATCAGATGACACACGAGTTCGTCGGCTCTCATTTACCTAAACTTGAGCTGCTTCACTTCAACCGAAGCTCAACGCAGTTGCAACATTTCTGGGACATGTTCAGGCAGGCGATTCACGAAAACCCTAGTCTATCGAACATTGAACAGTTCTACTATTTGAAAAACCTGTTGACTGGACAGGCATCGTAGGTCATCAACAGCATTCAAGCGATGGAGCAGTCATACGAAGACGCCATTGCCCGACTGAAAGACCGCTTTGGAAAAAAGAAAATCATAGAGCAACAATAGCAGTCCAACCTACAAACACTCAAGGCAGTAAAGTCCTCCAACAATGTGGCTTCGTTGCGAAACCTATTTAACACCGTCCACATCAATATCAGAGGACTTGGATGCCCGGAGCTCTCCTATGCTGCCATGCTCGTCGAGGTCCTCACCAAAGAAATCCCCGGAGATATGTTGGTAGGATACTTCAAACAACAGTGCTGACAGACGAGCGTCCATGCGGTTGCAACGTTAGAAACGGAACTTCGGGAGCTACTCGAGTACGTGCTCATGGAGGTGGAAGCTCGTGAGAAAATTGCCTTGGTGGACGCCGGCGGTCATGAAGTTCAAGATCACTGACAAGGCACGTTTCACAACGCATCACTTACGGCATCTGCCGTAGCCACGCAACGAATCGGAAAGGTATTTTTTTTTTTTGCCTGTCTTCGGTGCACGTGACAGAGAGATGCCCTTCCGACATTATTATTGACGAGAAAAAGAGTTACTTAGCCAAGGCTGGCCGATGTTTCAACAGTACCAACAAGGGGTATCGCGCTAAGGAATTCCGTCACAATCTGAGCTGCTATAAGTGTAACGGAAGATACGCAACAGTTCTTTGTGACCCCGAATACGCTCTAAAGCAGCGCTCAACAGATCAAGGACCCCTAGCTTGCATGTCAAATCGCACATGCCGTCATCGCAAAATACTAAGAACATAGTGCTGCTACAAACGTTCAGAGCGTGGTTGATTAGCTAAGATTACCAAAAGTGCGCAGCATCGAAATGGATGTCATGGCATTTGAAGGAGCTAGCGCTACACCAGAAAGACGACTCAACATTGTCAAAGTGGCAGTCACGAGTCAATTTGATCATTCAAAACGCGACATGGAAGCCATACAAGTACCGTACATCTGTGAACAACTGATTCAAATGCCAATGAAAAACAGGTTTTTACACCAGATGTTACAAGAAAAGAAGCACATCGCAGATACAGTACACATCCCTGGATTAAAAATGGAGGACGGCATATGCTGGTTGGAGCAGATCGAATTTGGAAGTTTTTGGTCAACGAAATTTTCCTAGACGAGAAACAACAAGAACTGGTGGCCATCAACACTAAGCTTGGGTGGACCTTTCAAGGACTGATCCAATGTGAAGAGCATCATTTTAAATGTGCTGCTACTGCGTAGATGCAGAGGTGTCAAGCACTCAGCAACAATTCTGGAATCTTGACAGCATTGTTATCTTGGACCCACTTACGAAAGACGACTATGACAACGCTGTAATAAATGATTCACCAACTCTATCCAGTACAGCAATGGACGATATGATGTGTCGCTGCCTTGGAAGCCGCTAAATTCGACTTTCGCAAACAATCGAGCGGTTGCCATGCGTAGACTTCGCATTTGGTTACGAGCGTAAACGCAGACCACGAGCTAATGCTGACAAAGCGATCAGACAGTATGAAGCTGACGGACATGCAGAAAAAATTAAATTATAAATCGAAGAACCACTCAAATGTTACTACATGCCGCATCATGCAGTAATTCGGGGATCTTCAATGACAACACATTTGGGGTGGTGTTTGACGCCTCGTCTCACGCGCAAGACGTAGCATCGCTGAATGACCACCTGGAGAAAGGACCAAAAATAAACGACATGGCAAAGATGCCGATCAATTTTAGGCTGCATAAGATTGGAGTTATCGTGGATGTCCAGAAAGCGTTACTACAGATAGGCATTGACAAAGAAGACAGAGATGCCTTACGATTCATGTGGTTTGAACGCACACTAGAAGCAGGTGAACCCCTGCCTAAAATCGAAAGCTACAGAATGATTTGAGTTCCATTTGGTACGACCGCAAGCCCATTTCTACTAATTGCGACATTGCCGTATCATTTCAAGCACGTGGAACCAACCCTACAAGATACAGCAAAACAATTATCGGACAACTTCTACTCGATGACCTTGTCACAGGGGTATCTTCCTCCCGTGAAGCTTTACGAATATTCTACGACGCAAATGCTATTTTGAACAAAGCGAGAATGAAACTACAGAAATGGTCGACGAATGATCTGATATTGAAGCAAATCATTAGTCAAGGCTCTGAGATGTCATCTGAAGCCGCCACAACAAAAGTTCTTGGCCTCTTGTGGGACACAAATGACGATCGACTCCGACTTAACATAAGCCCATGTTTCTGCAAAATAATGAAGATACCAAAAGATTTGTGCTTCAGACAACTGCCAGAATTTTTATTCTTTGGAGTGACTATCTCCCTTTCTTATCAGGATAAAGGTCCTGTTCCAACGTCTCTGGTAGCATGGGACCAAAGTGAGAAGAAGCCATGCCTGCACCATTACACGAAGAATGCAAGAATTGGTGTGTAGAACTTCAAGACCTTCTCAAGTTTTCACACCCGCAGTGTGATCTGAAGCTTTGTTTAAATCAGTCCTTAACTTACCAGTTTCACCTATTTGCAGATGCCAGCACGAGTGCTTGCGGAGTAGTGGCATACTTCAAGGTTCTAGATGAAGATGGAATCACTAACATACAGTTATAATGTCTAAATGTAGAGTTGCCTCAATGAAACAAATATCTTTGCCATGCTTGGAGCTGGTAGCCACAGTTTTAGCTGCAAGAGTGCTCAAATTTAGAAACTGGAAAATGGATGAGTACTGTTGGACAGATTCAACAGTTATACTCTGCTGGATTCGAAGCTCGGCCGTCAAGTGGAAGCAATTTGTCTCAAATAGAGTAATCAAAATACAAAAAACAACTGATCCAGACCAGTGGAATCATTGCCCTGGTGTTCAAAACCCAGCTGATCTGTTGACTCGGGGAATTCCACTAAAAGGTGCTTTAAATAACCAATTGTGGTGGAAGGGCCCAGACTGGCTGCCCAAATCATCAGACTGCTGGCCAACGATGGACAACCTCAACCCTTTGATGGCGTCAGATGAACGTCTCAATAGTCAGTTAAAGACAGTTGTTCCAGACCTGATCATTGTGACAACGGAAGTGTTATTCAGCCCTGAGAAATACAGCCCCTGAATGACAATGGTGAGGGTCACTGCATGGATCACGTGC